ATTTATCAAAGCCCCAGAAGAGACAGGCAACTAATATACAAGGCAAAAAATGCACAACTAAATCAATGGATTCTTGCAGAAGAGTGAACTATTACAAACAGAAAATAATACAATCTTCAATACTGATAGTCAACAAACCAGTGGGAAAGCGCATGGGCTAACGAATGGTAGATTGGCACATGCAAATTGCAAAATTAACCAGAACAAGTCAAATTACAACAACTGAAGGGGTCTGTGCAAGTTTTGTTCTTTCCCTACCAATATAGAGTTAAATAAATATCCACTAATTACTCTTAGTGGGTCCACTGCGTTAAAATGGGTGCAAAAGGTAACCAGGGGAAGAAGAATGAGGTGCTACTGGACAGTACTAGGAATGCAGCAATTTTACTACATACTTCCACCTTCATCACATGATTTTACTCCAGCCCAGTCTTAGTGCATCTGCAGCTGAACCCTGAATATCTGTGTTACTTCTGCACACAATTATTCCAATGCTCCACTGGCCAAGCTTACAATCCTCCATAAACTGAGCTCAGCCAGAACTCTGTTCCATGCATTCTAATTCTCACTTAGGTCCTGTTCAGCAATCACCTGAATACATTAGTTCCTAGAACAGGAACCCCATAACTTTGGAGTTGTTGGTTGGTTCGCCGAGCCAACAGGGGACATCAGTGCTGTGTAGCCTCCTAAAACCAGGCCTCCAGAAATTCTCGTGCTTGTCTTCGTCTTTGTCTTTGTCTTGCTTGTCCCAGTCAAATTGATGTCCTCCTATGTTGGAGTGTATTGTATTTTCAACCACCAATGCAATTAACAAATATGTTGAAATAGACCCCATCTACATACCACTATGGTATAAAATGGGAAACAACACTGCTCACCATGACAGACCGGACTATATAAATTCAGAGTGGCACCGAACAACAGCGCTTCAACAGAGGTTACACATCACTGATGATGTCACCTAGAAGGGAGATGAAACGTTTGCATGAAAACTAGTAAGCTTGGAGAATCAACCAACAACTCCAACTGCAACCCAAGCTACAGATCTTCGTTAAAACATTAAATCCACATAGTATTTTTCAGATTTCTTTAGTGTCCCATCTTTACTCCATCCTTCTAACCTTTCCGAGCCCTATAATTCCCAGACGTATCCTTACTCTTCCAATTCTGATGACTTAACCATCCCATTTGAAGATTCACTAACACTATGGTGGCCATGCCTACCCTTTTTAGTCCCTAAAACTCCCAAAAATTTCTCTCCCTCTCCCATATGAAGCATCCTTAAAGCTCAACCACTTGACCAAGATATTCATCGCTGGTCCAAATATCTCTACGTGGCTTGGTGGCAGGTTTTGCTTGCTTTCGCTCTGGGATAATTTATCATGCCAAAGATGCTATGTAAATGAAAGTTGCTATCTTACACCTTAAACTTGCTCCAACCATGAAACTGTCAGATATTCTCCTGCAATCACTCTCTCAAAAGATGCAGTAGCACAGAGAACTGTGTGTCATACACTATACAATTACTTGGTAAAAGTATGTTGTTTATTAATTCAATGTCATGATCAATGAAACATTCTGATCTTACAGTAATTTCATCAGATTAACAGATTTAGTAGTAGAAGAACACTGAAAAGTTCAAGCATCATGCAATCCAGAGTAATAAGATGTGAGGTTGGGGAACAGGTTTTCAATGAGTTAGTAATCCTCCCTGATAATTAACTCGTCCTGCTTCAGGAAGATGTTCTCCTTCCAAGGCCTACAGTCATAATGCTGAGACAAACACTGGGTGTTCAAATCACAGCTTAGATCTCAGTTGGAGTATTGCTTCTAACACTGGCAACACACTTCAGGAAGGATATCAAAAATGAGCAGAGGAAACACAGAAGGTTTACCAGGATGATAGCATGCACTCTCTTATTCCTACCCCTAGACTGCATTTGTATGTGTTATTATTTCTTTCCATTCAGATGTTCAAGATCACTTCAATAAGTCATCACATTGAACTTGCGCTCCAAAACATGTCGCTGCTATTATAAAACAGAAAATGATTACCTGGGAACAGCAAAGCTCGACAAAGCACAACGATTTGTTTTCACTGGTGTTGGTTGAGGAACACACATTGGCCTTCCTCATAATAATGCAACAGATCTTTTACATCTATTTGAGGGGGCAGTTTAACATCTCAGATGGAAAGTCAGGCCATGCCACACTCCAAAGTTCTGCACTGGTACCAGTTAGACATAGTCTGTGAAGCATGAATTCTCTATCCTTCTGAAAGGGGCGAGTGTTACCAACCGAATCATAGCAGAGTAATTCAACATTTTTAAAAACCTTTTTCAAATGCTAAGTATCACTATTTTCAGCAATTCCTTATGTTTCTAACAGTACAGTGTATGAAAATTTACCCAGGGTAAACTAATATTCACCGGGGCATTGAAAGGAACAGAAATCAAGCCGGTTCTCCAATCCGCATTTAACTCTAGTCAGTGGGTACATGTAATCAGTAAACAAACATTCATTAATTATCTCTTTACTAGCCATAAATACCGTTAACAGTTTATTTCAACCAGGCTCAAGTAATCCACAGAAACCAGTTAGATAAAGACTAAAGACTAAACCTGAGATCATGCATTTGGTAAGATCAACTGTACTAAACAAACCCCTGACCATCCTACTAAATTACCTTGTTCAGACCTTGAGTAAAACAATTGATAAAAATACATGAGCCTGCATCATCGGATTCACGCACGTTCTATGATGCAGTACCACCACAGTTACCCATCTTTGCTCTACATCACTTAACTATCAAAAAGCTATTGATTTCAATCTCAAAAGCTTCTATTGACTTCCAGCCTCAAAAGCCTCTTGGAGAGAATTTCAGATTCCCACCACTGTGTGCAGAAAAAGCGCATCCTGATGATATCAAAATTGACAGGTCACACCCATCAGAAGTTTTAACAAGTTAACACTTTTCTCTGAAAAGGAAAAGGGCAGAAGGGGTTCTGATCAAGCTCTTAAAAATTATGAAGAAGCTTGACAGTGAGGTATAGAGTCGTTTCCACTTGGGGGTGGAGGGAGGATGGCAAGAAGGTTCATAAATAGGGATATAAATCTAAAATGGTCACCAATAAATCCAACGGGGAATTCAGGAGGAAACTTCCTGCCCAAAAAAATGTGGAACTCACCAGGGGGAGTGGCTGAAGTGAGTAGCATGAAATACTGTAAATGCATTTAAAGGAGAAGGAAGATAAACACCAGGAAGAAGGAATAGGAGGTTTGGCTTAGAGAAAAGATGAAATGAGCTGGGAAGAGGCTCCCGTGAAACAGAAACTGGACATTGTTAGTTCTTATAAAAGTAAAGTCTCTACTCTATATACAAGGGAATATAAGGCAGCCCTTTTTTTTTACGTTCCCCTTCATATCCCAGTCTTCTTGAATTGAAAACAAACATTGCAGTAACATTTTTAATTGCCTTGTCAACCTGTCCAGTGGCTTCTAGAGATGTGTGTACTTGGCACACCCAAATCTCTTTGCTCCTCCACACTTTCTCGTTTCTCATTTAGCAAGTACACCTTGTCATTCTTGGATCCAAAGTCAATGACAGCATAGTATTCAACATTGAACTTAATCACAACCACTAATTTAGTTTGACTATTCCCTTTGTATTTTTCTTCCCCAATTCTGTGACAACTTACTAGATCTCCTACGTTTTGGATGAAACATTATGTGGGCATAAATATCCCATCTTACTACCTGAAGATCAACAGTGATTTACTAACATCCATTCTTCAACCAACATCACCAAGACAGATTATTTGGTCATTACCATTGTTTTGTGGGTGCCTGCTGTGTGTATATCTGATGCCGAGTTTCCTACAAACACACACATTTTCAAAGAACACTTCCTTCACTGAAAAGCTCTAGGGGTCATCCTGAAGTTGCAAAAGATGTACACAACCAACTTTATGCAACTCTCCATTTATCTTTCAAATCCTTGATAAATACAGTGAACAGATGCCTGGGGAACACCATTTGTCTCATCCTGCCAAAACACAGGACATACTCTACTCACTGTCACATATCTCCCGATCAATTTCCAAACAATGCAGCTAGAACTTCCTAGTTTAGTACTGAAATATTTGCCAATATTGGGGCAGCACTGCTGCCTCACAGCACCAGGGACCCGGGTTCAATTCCACCCTCGGGCTGTGTGGAGTTTGCGCATTCTCACCATGTCTGTGTGGGTTTCCGCCAGATGCTCCGGTTTCCTCCCACAGTCCACAGATGCGCAGGCTAGGTGGAGTGGCCATGCTAAATTACCAATAGTGTTCAGTGATGTGTAGATTAGGTGGGTTATGGGAGATGGGTCTAGGTGGGATGCTCTGAGGGTTGGCGTGGGCTTGTTGGGCCGAAGGACCTGTTTCCACACTGTAGGGATTCTATGATTTTTTTGTACTAGATTCTTAGGATTCTTGAAAACTGATATTTTTCTCAAATGATTTGAGAAAGGCATTCACATAGCAACTCAACTAATTGTAGAAAATGAATTTAAAACCATCCACTTTTGATATCACATAGGCAAAGGAAACTACTTGCAAAATTAATCTACAGAAATCACAACAGAAAATGTACCCTTAGACAGATGTTGAGGGCAGGGGAAGCAAAGATGGATGATAAAGGAGAAAAAAGCTTGAAACCAAATATGAAAATACGTTTGAATAAAAGAGACGACATTTAAGACAGAATGAGTAAATAATTAGGAAAAAAATATTCACAGGGAATAGTCTGGATATAATGGGACGAATATTAGATACAGGACGGTAGAACCGTTAAATAATAGAAAATATTGGAAATACTTAGTCGCTGTTAAGAGAGAAGGTTAGCCTTGCAGGTCAATAACCAGTAGCACAGTAGGACTTATTGGATAGGTATTACAAGAGACACCACCAGCTGAATGACCGCTTGCTGTTGAGTGTGAAAGCTACACATCTCCCTACCTGGTCCTTAGGGCTTGCCACGCAGCGTCCACATCTGCGTAGAGGTTCTTCTCGGAAGGTTTCCCAGAACTGGCGCCGTAGCCCGAGTAATCGTAGGAGAAGACATTGCAATTGATGCGGGAGCCTAGGCCGATGTAGAAACTGCTCATTTGGCCCAGGTCCACGGCGTTGCCATGCGAAAAGAGCAAGGTGAAGCGAGCGCTAGGCGAGCAGCGAATGAACATGCAGGAGATGCGGTTGCCCCGGCTGGTCCGGGTCATGAAGGCCTCGATGGAGTCCTTCTCCCGTTGCGAGTACTGCCAGTCAGCCCGCTCGGACAGGTGCAGGCTCCAACGACCCCCAGCCTCATCAGCCAGCAGCGCATATGTAGGCTCGGGGGGCAAGAAGGCCAGTTTGGACGCAATCCGACCAGGGCAGGGAGGGCAGCAGAACAGGCAGCAGAGCTCACTCAGAGACAGGTTATTCATGGCGAGTATGTGAGAATGTATCTGTGATAAGATCCCCACCCTCAGTCAAATAAATAAATAAATAAATCAATCCAGTGATTGCAGAGTTCAACATGAAACTTTGTAGAGTAAATTCTCACAGGCGATGAAATCTGGTGCAGAACATGATCAACCCGACAATAAAAGACACTGATTTAAGCAGGTGGATAAAATGCAGTTACAAAACAACCCGATCTTGTGTTGTGCAAAAGATTTCCCACGCCTCATCGATCCAAGTAGACGCAAAGGGACGGAATCGGTGCGTAAACTTCAGCCGAGGATGGGAGTCATTGATCAAGGAAGACAAGGGGAGAAGCTCTCCCTCTCTGCGTCCTCAGGACAGGAGGAAGGAGGCACCGAATTAATCGACAACACAGCGATCCTGCTCCGTTCGTCTCTCCCCACCTTCTCAGGCAATGATTCGGCGATATTTTCTCAACAACCTGCTGCTACGACGGGATTCAGGAGGTAACACAAAGCTCGCCGGCCTGACGCTAAGGGTAAGTGATGGTGGGGGTTGGGGGGGACGGAAACAAATGTCGGCGGAACGTCCGCTGGGCCCCGCACCTTCCACACGGCGAATAAAACAAAGGAGGATCCCTCCTATTCCCGCACCCGCTCGGGCCCCACAGCCGCCCTTCTTTCTTTTCTTCCACCGCACTCACATCCGTGATTTCAGTACTAAATCCGCCGGCCAAGGTATTTCCATACTTTCCTTTTTTTTGCGTAATTAGGTGGGAACAGCAATAAAACGTCTTTTGGAACTCGTGGGGAGGGGAATAGCCGTTAGCTTAGCGGTGCGCATGTGCAGCTGGCGGGATTCTGAGACAGCGCGCATGCGCGGCTGTTACGGCGGTGCCGGGTCAAGTAGGGAATGGGCAGTTGATAGGCCAGGACGCAAAGTTTGATAGACGCGCATGCGCAATAGGCACGCTTTTCAATGGCGATGAAGGCTGGTGAGAGAGAGAGAAAAGTGAATGCGTGCGCAGTTGCGCGGGCGTTTCAAAAGGAGCAGCAGCAGCCCGCCACCGACTATTCACTTGGGCACCGGTTTTCACCTTTTCTCACAACGAGTCCCGCCCAATTGCCGTTCTAATTAGATGACAGCCACTGATTGATGTGCCAATGCGCCAGTCAGCATGTCAGTCGCTGGGCGCATGGTCCAATTCGGCCTGAGAATATCCGGAGGTGGGGCGTCGTGTGATTACCTCATTGTCCTAGGTCATCACGTGATTTTCCCAAACTTCCGGGATAGCTATGGGTGGTCTTTTGTACATGTGGTCCTGGTGCACGATATGTTGTGATTTAGTAAAGTGGCGTTATAATTTGTTAAACTAGATTATGAGTTCCCAGAAAGGAAACGTTGCAAGGAAAAGACCACAAAAGCATCAGAATGTTATTCGGTTCAAAAATGACAAATATGACAAAAGTGAAAAGATGAAGGTGAGCAACAGTTTCATTGTCAATAATTTATTTCTTCCAGATTAGTGTCTTTCATTTTCATAATTAAGGTCGTGAATTTTATGGTAGGGTAAACAAGGAGTAATTTGTTTCCAAAAGAAAAGAGGTTTGTACGTAGAAGACTGAGATAACAAGATGTAGAGTTGGATGAACACAGCAGGCCAAGCAGCATCAGAAGGAGGGTCTAGGCCCGAAACGTCAGCCTTCCTGCTCCTCTGATGCTGCTTGGCCTGCTGTGTTCATCCAACTCTACACCTTGTTATCTCAGATTCTCCAGCATCTGCAGTTCCTACAATCTCTGTACGTAGAAGACTGTTTTGTCAATTGCCTTAAATCTATCAGACGGAGATGAGTTTTTAAAAAACAGCGAGTTTTGTTGACTGCTTTGGCTGAAAGGTTTGTGGGGGCAGGTTCAAATGTAACTTTAAAAGAAATTTGGATAAACACTTGAAATGGGAGGCGGGCAGTATTGATGTTGGAGTTGCAGTATTGAATGGAAGAGTGAGAGGATATGGGACCAATTGGATAGCTCTTCAAAGAGCATGTATATGCTTTAGGTGAACTAGGTCTGTACATATGATGGGCTGAATGGCCACCTGTATTGACTCAGTAAAAGAAAATTGTGTGTGGACTTCTTCAAAAGAGTTGCATTGTATTAGACAATACTAAATTGCACTTTAATAAAACACGTAAGGAATCTGCACATTCAGGAATGGAATCTACACTATTTGGGCACTTTGGAGTTCTGCCTTTCAGGCTTGATTGAGGAAGCATTTGAAACTTGAGAATATGACCAGGCAAGAAGGTTTACACAGAGTTAGAGGTAAAGAAGTAGTAGCTCTTTCCTGAGTTGATCTACAGCAAACCGCCTTTGGATTGAGGGATTATTGAAGATTACAAAAGAGATCTTGATCAATTGGGTTAATGGGCTGAAAAGTGGCGGATGGAGTTTAATTTGGCAAAATGTGAGATTTTGCATTTTGATAAAACAAACAAGGGCAGGTCTTATACAATTAAAGTTAGGGCCTTGGTTAGTGTCGTAGAACAGAGAGACCTAGGGGTTCAGATACATAATTCTTTGAAGTTTGCATCACGTATAGATAGAGTGGTTAAGAAGATGAGTAGTATGCTTGTCTACATTGTTCAGACCTTTGAGTATAGGAGTTGGGCTGTTATTGTTGAGGTTGTACAGGGCATTGGTGAAGCCTGTTCTGGAATACTGTGTCCAATTTTGGTTGCCTTGTTATGGGAAGGATATTATTTAGCTGGAGAGGGTTCAGAAGAGATTTTACCAAAATGTTGCCAGGAATGGAGGGTTTGAGTTATAAAGAGCGGCTGGATAGGCTGGGACTCTTTTTTTTTCCCTCTGGAGTTTGAGAGGTGACCTTTGTAGAAGTTTATTAAATCATGAGGGGAATAGATAAGGTGAATGGCAGGTGTCCTTTTCCTTAAATGGGATTTCAAGTCTAGTGGGCATATTTTTAACCTGAGAGGAGAGAGATTTTAAAAGAACATGAGGGACAATGTTTTTATATTATACAGTGGTTTGTGTGTGGAGTGAAGTTGCAGAGAAAGTGGTGGATGCAAGTACAGTTACAACATTTAAAAGACATTTTGGATAAATACATGAACAAGAAGTATTTAGGGGATATAATTAGGCAGGTGGGACTAGTTTAGTTTGGTATTGCGAAGGGTCTGTTTCCCATACAGTATAAGTCTGACTCTACGAATGAAAAACACAGGAAATCACTGTAACATGCCCCTTGTGACAAACCTCATCTGTCAGTCTTCGAAATACAATGGAGGGAGCGGTCATTGCTTAACAGGTTCAGCATAAGCCACGGTGCCTGTGTAGCCATCCTTCACTGGGTTGTGAGAACTAACCCCTTATTCACATTGAAGAGACAAACAACACTCTGCAATACCCAGGAGTGCCCTGTCTGCAGACTAATCTGATGACTAATCAACTTAAATGTCTGAGGTGGCCTGGGAGGTTATTGCTAGGTTGAGAATTTGGCTTCTCTAAATAATAGTAGCTTCCCGCCTGTATAGGTAGTCACAGAGCAGCAACAATATACAATGAGCAGCAAGGTATGAGCTGTGATGTAGACAGCCAGAAGACTTTGTTACTTGTGTAGCGTGATAGGTCCTTAAGGTGAATTTGACATTTCAGGATCAGATAAAAATGAGGTGGCTGTGGAATTTAATGTAGTAGTGAAGGACAGAGAGCTGACTACCATTAACTAAAACCTCTTGTCTGGGTAATTCCTTCTGGAGTAAGACCTAGACAAGTAGAGAGCCAAGGATAAACTTTGGAATCTGCTGAAGGTGACTATACAGTGGCGAGGAGATTAGGTTTACATTCAATTATCAGCTGTCCGACAGAGGATCATTTTTGCATCTGAGAAGTTCAAGAGGATGAGGGAGGATAATGTATTTTGGTCATATTTACAGGATATGTAAAGTAAAATGGAAAAGTCTCTAAAGGGAAGTGATTGTACAGAGAAATATTTTAAATAACCTTTGAATTAATCTCCTGTGTTAAATATACGTTTGACTCTACCAGCCTTGCAACTCACCACCTCATCTCTCCTCAAAGCTTTGAACATGTTGGCACTTCCCAAATCTACGTACTTTCACGAATAATGTCCACGCCTTGCATGTAGATGCAGATACCCTACTGGAATGATACAGGGATGAGAGATTTTAGTAATGTGGAGAAAGTGCAGAAGCTGGGATGCTCTCCTTAGACCAAGACAAGGGAGCTTCAGTAGGGTTATTCAAGATTATGATGGGTCCTCAGAAAATGAGCAGAGAATGGTCAATAACAGAAGGCAGGGCAAATCAATAATAGGCTTCAAAAGGTACTTTGGATAGGTGAAAAGATATTTACAGAGCTCTGAGAAAGGAGTGGGGGCATGGGACTAATTGGATAGTTTTTCAAAGAGCCAGCACAGACACAATGGTCCTAAAGTGTTGATTGATTAAATGTGGGTGCTTAAGAAGGGAAAATTCAGCATTGACCAATTACTGTACATCACAATTCTCTTTATTCTAAAACCACCCGTGCTTTGGAAATGTGGGCTATGAGCCTTGGATTTCTGCCACATGAGACCATTTCACTTTCAGCGGACAAAGGCACATAAATATTATAATAACTGTAAATCAGCCTAACAATGCCATTGTTTCAGAATGTTCATTGGGTAAAGATGTTTTCCTTGTACTTTCAGAGTGTGCCTTTTCATGGCTGAAACAAACACTCCGAGTACAATCTATCCTGGACATTCAAACCAGCTCGGTGGGTGGGAAAATTTTGTAATAGTTTAAAACTTTTTATTTCATGTGTTATTGAAGTGATTGGGACAAGCTTGTAGCAGTGCATTCACTACAAGATTTGCTATTAAGGATTTATAGCTTGAATATATTTATTAACGACAAATCAAAGTAACGCTCCATCCTTGCATTTGTAAATGCAGGATTATGTAGAGAGTGTGACCACACTCCAGAATGTGCAGAGGACATTAATGAAGATTTTGCCAGTGAAAAAGGTTTGCTCTGTGGAAAGATTGGATATTCTGGGATTAAGGAGAGACTAATTGATGTGTATAAAGATTTTGAATTACTTGATGTCGATATGAAGAACATATTCTGGGAGCAGATGTCAGTAATTGGGGCAAGCAGATTTTCAGCAATTTGGTATAAGAATCAGTGGAGTTGAGATTTATTTTTCATCCAGGTGCAGGTAGGAGTCTGGAACTTGCTGGCTGAAAGGTTGATGAGACAAAAACTCTCGTCATATTTGAAAAAGTATTTGAATATTTATTTGAAAGGCCCTAACCGACAGGGCTACAGACCTAGAGCTGGTCAATGGGATTAGGCTGGATAACTCCTTTTACTGACTGGCACAGAAAAATTGAGCTGAGTGGCCTCGTTTTGTACTGTTGATTTTTCTGCTTCTAGTTCAACAGACCTTCTGCCTACCTCTCAGCAGTCTGACATTTCCTGTGCACTGTCAATTTTAAATCCTTTCCTGATATCTTGTTAAAATGCATGGTTTACTTCTGGGCACCACACCTGAAGAAAATCCTATATTGGTCTTGCTTAAAGTGAAAACTTACCAGAATGGTATCTGAATTAAGTTTACGAGGAGAACTTTTACCATTAATTTTAAATTCCCTGGAATTTAAATGATTAGGTGCTGATTTGATTAAAGTTTCCAAAATTATTTGTGGGAAAAGATGACATAGCTAGAGAGAGAGAAACTACAGTATATTTAAAATCCTGGTGCAAAGTTCAATTTTTATCATGTACACATCCAAAGTTGCTGCAAGCAAAATTTTACATTGCTTAAAGAGTAATGGATACAGATTTTCCATGAACAATTTTACAGACTTTGGTCTGCTAGCCACAATATATAGTTTGCCTTTCATTGAAAATAGCAACAGTAAATCAGTTTCAGCATCTACAATAAAATAGGCGTGCTGTAGCAACAATAATTACATGTTTTAAAAAAACCTTGTGAATTAAACTTTTATTTGCTTCAATCTGTATAAATATCTTAACTGGGATGTGGTTGCCTTTGATAGAAGAGGACTGGCAATTATACTATTGATGAATATTTATTGAGTATTTATACTATTGAGAGACCAACTTTAGCAGGAATTCATAAGAAATTTCTTCAGGTTCCATTCCTATGTGATCTGATAATATTGATGCACTCTATATATTAATACATTGGCTATTAAACCATTTAAGCTTGACGCGCATGTACATCCAAAGTTACTAAAGTTGAAACTTGCAAAAGGATTGAATAAAAACACTGCATTTCCACTGGTTATTTGCTAAGACGGTGCTCCATAAATGTGGGAGGTCGCGAACCAAAAGTTTGGTGTCACAAAGCCATGACGCTCCAATCAAATGAGCAGGTATTAGACAACTTCAGATGCTTGCACTATTTTTCAAACTATGGTCAAGGCCTAGTTTACTGAACCCTGATGTCTCCTGCAGCAGTGAAAATGGTAGCCCTCCCACACAGCTTAGAAGAACAAAATAGCTGAAACCCCTCAGTTCCACATGCTGATATTTACTGAGGGTCGCTCTCTTCCTGACCTGTTCTTAGGGCTCACTTTGAGGTCACAACAACTTTCCAGCCTTGAAGTTGGGTTTCACTGGAAAAATGTTTGGGAACCCCTCTTCTAAGACTAAGAAGATGTGGCCTCAAGATTGAATATAATTTAGCCATGGCTTCCCATGTTCCCTGTTTTATCTCGCGTCTCCTCTGCTTGCAGGTAAACTTATCAGTCTGCTTGACATGGGTTCACTCGAGGACATTGAAACCATCAGCACCATTTTGCAAGACTGTTTCTCTTTAAAGAATTAATAAAATGTTTAGATGATAGCAAAAAAGAGGCTTATGACTATCTAAATTTCTGATTTCTAAAGTTGAGAGTGATCTTCATCCACCTAAACTGTTGCCTGTACTGGAGAAATGCTTACAAAATATGTAATATAAAAATATAAATTCAGTTTGGCCCAAATACATCATTGTTTATGAGCCTCTTTCCGTTCTTCATCTCACCTTATCATATGCTTATATTCCTTTCTCCCATGTCTTTATCCAGTTTCACCTTAACTGTATCTACACCATTCACCCTGGAATATTGTGATTGAGAGTCCACATTCTCATTGCTCTGTTGGTAAAGAGGGTCCCCTGAAGTCCATGTTTTTTTTAGTATTGATAAGCCCCCAGAATTGGTCTCCTCCACTGCCCTCGCTCTCGTGCTCTCCCACACTGGCGCAGACATAAATGGAAATATCTTGTCTATAACTGCCCTTCATACCCAAAGCCTATATCAGGTTATCTCTGCTAGAGCTTTCAGTTTTTCCTACTGCTTAGAACATCTCCAACATAGGATCATCCTTCTGAATCCATTGTACTTTCTTCAGCAGATTTTGAAATTTGGATTTTTAAATTGCATTACTATGTAAAACCTTTTTTTTTTCCTTCCAGAGACTAAATGCAATGGTGCATACAGGTGTCTGTAAACATTGTAAGGAAGTGTTAGAATGGAAAATAAAATACAACAAATATAAGCCACTTGGTCAAGCTCGGAAATGGTAAGTTAAAGTTTCTTAGCTCTTTGTTCAAAGACATTCTTTGTGCATTTTTTTTGTCCACTGATGTTCAATCAATATCACATTTGTCATTAATTTGGTACTGTAAGTGGTAGATTTTTTAAAAGAACAACAAATGACCATTTGTTTCAAGAACAAAAACAAAGTTGCTGGAAAAGCTCAGCAGGTCTGGCAGCATCTGTGAAGGAAAAAAAACAGAGTTAATGTTTCGGGTCCGGTGACTCTTCCATTTGTTTTGCTGTCTATTTTGTATTATCCCTATAACCCTTGAAAATCCCTGTAGCTTTCCATACCAGTCTTTTTGGGTTGCCACTTGCATCAAAAATATGCTTGTGGCAATAAACTTACTTTCAGAAAGTGGCTCGCAGTTCCTTGGAACACCCCAAAGCATTCTGCAGCCAACTAAATGGTTTTTGAAGGGTAGAAACTATCACAGCGTATTATTTGATATTGACATGATGTCAACCTTGTGTGATTTTCTTGCAACATCAGAAAGTGGTTTTAAATGTTTCTCTGTCATGGAAATGAGGATGATTGCTTCAAAAATGATTGGAGGTTTGCTGTTACAGCACACATGATGACTTCCTTAACAGTGCCATATGGTAAGCATAAGAACTTTATGATTCTTGCTGTTATTAATATTGAACAAGTCGCATCCCAGAATAAAACCTGGATTTATAGACTATTTACTCAGTTTACTTTTGTCTAATTAACATGGTGCTTTTTCACTGAAATATATTTACTCAGTTTACTTTTGTCTAATTAACATGGTGCTTTTTCACTGAAATATGTTCACACAAGTCTGCAAATTTTCTTCAACAACAGCATATAGGATTATTACACAAAGCACGGGGTGGGGGGGCCTGAAAACAAACACAGTTGTATATCTAAGGCAGTTAGAAAGATCTAACAAACCACAACGCAAGTTCTAACCCGTTTCCAAATGCTATTGCATCCAGAGAAATTGTACCCCTGTCTGCTGTTTTGTTGTCTAGTTGATCTTGGGTATCTGCATAGATTTTATGCCACCTATTTGAATAGGTTTCAGCAGATGTTCTTGGTCTGTGTGCACACCTTGCTCTTATTTTGAAGTAATCTGTTAGTTAGCTTGGACTAATCATCTCTGTCTGTTATCTTGTGACTCAATCATGCTACACCTTTGTTGAAGAGTGCAGTGAAAGAAGAATTTAAAATCTACATGTAATTGGACCTGTATAGAAACTTGTGGTCAGCAGAACAGTCGACAAAATAAATTGCTGAAGATTTGAAAATGAGCTGCAACTTGGGACAAATAGGTCTTCGTGGGTTGACTGGGAAGGAGAAAATGATTCTCACTTTTTAAAAAAATAATTGGATACAAGTTTTCACTGATCTATTTGGGCAAATTTTCAATAGAGGCAGCATAAATAAAGTGAAATCGAAGTGGATTGGGGCTGTGTGTAGTGGTAATGTAGTAGGACTGATAGCCCAGACGCAGCAGCTAATAATCTGGGGACAGTGGTAGCTGCTGGAATTTTAATTTTGTTAATAAATCATGTCTCCGTAATTGTGACCATGACACTATCATTAAATAAAAACCAAAAGAACTGTGGATGCTGTAAATCAGGAACAAAAACAAGTTGCTGGAAAAGCCCAGCAGGTCTGGCAGCATCTGTGAAGAAAAAAATCAGGGTTAACGTTTCAGGTCCGGTGACCCTTCCTCAGAACGTTGTTGTGAAACATGATCTGGTCCCACTGTCATTTTTAGGGAGAGAAATCTGCTATCCTCACTCAGTGTGACCTACATGTGACTCCAGCACTATAGCAGTGTGGCTGACTTTTAACCGCCCTCTGAAATAACACCAAGACAGTCAGGTCAAGGACAAATAAAGACGGGCAACAAATTTTGCAATTGGTGGTGCCCACCTCCCATGAAAGAATTTTTGAAAAGTGAGTTGGTGCATTAGGGATTACCTTGACTGGGTGAGTTGAGGAGGAATGGGACAACGTAAACACCAGATGGAGCTATTGGGCCAGAAGCGTATTTATGACTCAACGTAACTCCGTGGACCTTAATAGTTTCACTTGCCTCAATAGTGTAATGTGTTTTGACAAGATTTTTAATATTATTGTTACCATGGAGCATAATCCTAGATCAGTTATCGATCTTTTAATTCCAATATCTTTTTTAAAAGTCAAGTGCTGCAGCCGAACACGTGACTGTGGATGTAAATTCACTGTTTAGTGTTGACGATCGCTCATATGAAACACGTAGGAGGCCACAATAAGATTTTATCAGAGGGTCTTGAGTCTTTGGAACTCTCTTTCTGAACAGGTGGTGGAAGTAGAACCCGTTTTTAAGATGGAGGTAGTTAAATTCCCCTTTAGAAAAGGAGTGAAAAGGTTTTCAGGGCTGGGTGAGAATGAGGATTTCTGGTTACAATCAGATCAGTCATAATCTAATTGAATGCCTTGAGCCCACTCTGCCACTGAAGAGCCAATGCCTGCTCCTAATTTGAATGTTCAGTGACTATCTGGAGAAAACCCTGGATTGTCAAACCTGATGAAGTGTCAGGAAGCATCAAATGGATGGATTAGAGGGAGAAGTGTGCCATAACACTGAAATAATAAAATCTCCGGTGGCTGTGGAGCCGCGATCATAACGGGAGAAAACAAAGCAGTCTGAGCAAGAGGCATGTTTTATTGCCAGCTTTCAAGAATACACAATCCAGTTCAACTTTGGTTTGTGTGTGCTCAGGGAAAAAGGTGTTCTAATGGGCTGAGCAACTCGTGCAGTATCCTGGGTTTGATGGATGCTGAGTTGATCACAGTTGCTAGTCACCCCTGCATTGCAGCTAAAAGATTTCCAGCTCTGGGGTGCTAGAAGACAGACAAAAGGATTTCAATGAATCTGCAAAGCTCAAACTCAGTGACCCTTCAATTACCAATATCAACGCTACCAGTAGTAGACACTGTAACAACTGCAACATGTTTCCATTTACTCTTAAACAATTTGTTTTTACACACCCATTTGTAATTCGTGTATGTGTTGTGTTGTTATTTCTATGTTTGGGTAACTAATAAACTCTCTTGTTGACATGTCAGCCGAACTAAATTGGCTCCTTTTGAACATAGCTTAATTTAGTCTGGGAGCAAGGTATCCAAAAGGAGGGCATTCTTTTGTAGATTTTGTGACCAACCAAAGGGGCAGGTGAATAAGGAAGGGGAGCCACCTCATTCCATTTCACCTGGACCATTACCATTTAGGCTATCCCTTCCAGAACTTTAATAACTTGGGAATACTTTTCCAGGGTCTGATCATTATGACATTATTCCCCTTCTTTTGAGCTTAAAGTAAATAACTTCGGCCTTGAGCTTCCACAAGCTCAAGCAAAGCATTTCCTGTCAGCACACCACTGAAACGTTCAATTGGCAAGTTTTTTTTTAAAATATGCAACTTCTGTTATCCAGATGCGATGTGTGCATTGATGATCCTTTGGAAACCACCTCATTAGGCAGCTTGATCACAATGTAATTTGGAGTCGTTACATGCTCAAGCAATGTTTTCAATAGCCCCCCAATCCTGGTTCAGTAAATGGTTAACCATGTCTTGTAGATCTCCATTTCTAACTCTTAATCAATTAAGTTCCAATATAACAGAAACTATTATATTGGAGCGGGGGGTGATTTTAGTGGGTCCTGACAGATGCTAACCGCTGAACTACGTCCATCAAGGAAGAGAATGCAGCCTCATTTCAAAACTCTTTACAGCCTGCATTATTATTTGACCAGAATTGTTACAAGCCACTATTACTAAATAAGTTTGTGTTGATATAATCAAGGTCTTCTAAGGTTATGACCAGGTTATAAGGGGGTAAATAATGATGAATTATTTTCCTGGTGAGCAAAATAGTGCTGTGGACCCCAAGCTTATCGCAAGTGCTTACTCTTTCAAAGGGGAATTAAAGTAATTGCATTGAAGAAGAGGAATAATTAATAAAGTTCACAGGGAGCTATTAGAATGGAATGAGGGGGGCTGTTTTCAACTATCACAGTTGATGGGCAGAGTGGTTTGTGTCTGTGCTGTAACATTCTGGTAATGCTGAATAAAAATGGAAAATATAAGAACTTAGCCTCCAAATTACTGTTTCCATGGTGTCTGTTGTGATGTTAAAATATCAGCAGTTTTCTTTTTACCTTTTTGTTTATTTCTGTTTAGTGTTAAATGCCTTCAGAAAACAGTGAAGGACTCTTACCACATTATGTGTAAACCCTGTGCTTTCAAATTGGAGCTCTGCGCCAAATGTGGAAAGAAAGAAGAGATTGTGAATCCGTATGTATTTTTTTTCCAATACTTTATAATTGGTGAGGAAACAATGGAATCTCCCAGATCCCAACAGGAAAGATCATTTTCATAAGTCAGTGGAATCCTGTGGTGCAAACGTTGTACCTTTTTTATTCTCCTGGCATTTAGTAGTTTCAATAACGTAGTGCAGGCAAGGCCGTTTTTGTTGCCTACCCCTCATTGCCCTTGCCAACCAAGTGGCTCTACTGAACAGCCAGCCATGTAACGTGGTTTAAGCTACATAGACTCATTGGATTTTAACGTCATTGAAGATGGCCATGACTTACATTGTGTATGCCTCAGCTATATGAGAAACTCAGTTAGTCCCATACCTGTGTATTTTCCCTGTGGCCCTGCAAATTATTTCTCCAGATAGTTGCCCAATTCCCCATTTTATTATTAAAAACCTCAACTGAACCACCACACTTACAGTAAGTACATTTCAGATCCTAAGTACTCATGGCATTTTCTTTCAAAAAAAGACTTTTCCTCTCACCGTCTCTGGTTCTTTTGCTATTCGCTTTCAGATGGTGTCCTCCAGTTCATGCCACAGCTGCCAAATGGAGCAGTTGCTCCCTATGTATTCTATCTAAACATCGCATGGCTTGGATCACCTCCAAATCATCTCTCAACCTTTCTTTTAAGGGGAACAATCCCAGTTTCTTTAATCAAGCTTCATAACTTAAGTCTTTCATCCTGGGAATTCTTCTTATAAACCTTTTCCTTTCTGAATGCCAAAATAGGTCCCCAAGGCATGTGCAGATGGGGCCACAGTGACAGGCTTCAGGATTGGTCTGTGCACATGCTGCTGCATGACTACATTCTGTGTGCAGACTGCTCCACGTTTTTTAGTTCTTTAAAGCAACAGCCATGCTGGCTCAAACAGAAACTGCTGGTGAAACTCATCATCTGTGGCGAGAAAACTGTTAACGTTTCGAATTCAGTGACCCTTCTTCAGAAAGCGCCGGCCTTAGCTGCTTCTCACGTTTCCTCGCACTGATTCAGCCCAGGGCTGAAAAGATCGTGGCTTCTCCGAAGGAACAGAAGTGTGGATTAGCCAAGATCCCAGTGTATACAATCGATGTGATTATATTGGCAGCACCATATTTGTGACAGGCAGCTGCTGCCACAGCTCTGTCATGGGGCAGTGATGCGCACTGCTGTGCTGAGTTCCTGTAGGTGCATGCTTTTATTCCACCGGGCAGAGGCATTCACAATAAATGCAATTTGTCCATAGGTGAGATAACGTGCAGAATTTTTTTCATTTTGGTCACAAATGTGAAGATTGCTGTCCAAATGTAAAACATTCTACAGTACAGCGGCTGAATTGAGGAGCAGGAACACTTCGTGCTACATTATTCACTGCTGCCAGATGGCATTCTAAACATCCTTATGCCTTTCAGGTTCAAGCTCTTATTTTCTGATTGGTGCTTTGTTTAGCAACATGTTTTTGTTCCACTTGAAATGAACAGAAACAGTTAGTTCAAGATCTTCACTGATTTGCTAGTTAGTCTGTTAACCTATAAGTTAGTGATATTTGAGCAGCGTGTGTCAATGGTGAGCGGCCCTGCATATGCATAGTGATTTACAACAAAACAAAATTTCAGAAAATTTTGATGCACTTCAACGTTGGAAGCAACAAACAATTTTATTTTTAAAAATATGACCCAATTCTTTCTAATAAAAGCTGGCCATGTAATTCTGGGTCCCAGGTAAATCCATTGCCAAAGCTGGTGAGGTGGTGTTTGTTAACATAGAAGAACAGATCATAGAATCCCTACAGTGTGGGAACAAGCCCTTCGGCCCAACAAGTCCACACCGACCCATCCCCTAAGCTGCACATCTTTGAACTGTGGGAGAACACCCAAAGGAAACCCATGCAGACACCGGGAGAACGTGCAAACTCCACACAGACAGACACCCGGTGGTGGAATTGAACCTGGGTCCCTGGCACTGTGAGGCAGCAGTGCTAACCACTGAGACACCGTGCTGCCCATAATCCATATTGTCTGCAAGAAGCCAGAAACTATCCCCTCCTCTTCTATTTATCAGGGGAGCAACTAATAAAGAACATGACATCAAGTTTGGTGCATTTGCTTCAAAATGTGCTACATTATTCACTGCAACCAAGTGGCATTCTCAACATCCTTTTTTTTTTTAATCATCTGTAATAAAAGCAGGAAATGCTCAGCTAGTCAGGTGACATCAGTGGAGAGAGAAACAGATTGAATGGAACTGATTTTAACTTTTTTTTTAAAAGGAATGTGTTTTGAATGAGTTGACCATTTCAAGTCAATTACCTGTCACTGCTAATATTGAGTGCACAATCCAGTTCCACTTGTAGAAAGATGCCTGCTGCACACTCCCCCTCCAGGGGCACACAGTTTTTGCCAGCGTGAAGGCCCTTTATTTCCTTCTTACCCCTTTAACAAGGATTAAGCCCAAACTGAACCTGGTAGATGATCAGTTGGTCCAGGACCAGAGAGATGGAATCTTCTCAGTTGTCCAGTCCCCACCATTGCATGGATTGTGGCAATGAAGTGCAGGAAGAAACTGAGGAGCAACTTGTTCAAACAGTGAAGGATAAGGTTGCAGCTGCTTCCATTGGACAAAAGTATGGAACAGAGTCTCATCCAAATACCAAAACGTATAGGGTTTTTCCTGTCAGTAGCATGAGATATGTCAGGTGCTGAATTGTATTCTGTCTCTCATTCAAAGTTCACATACTAATAATATCCCACATTCTTGGGACAGTACAGAAGTTATTTCAGGACAGCTTTATAGAGTGACTGACTATTGAAGGACATGTGCAAGCTTGCAGCTGATCTTCCCTACAACTATAAATTGAGGTGGTTTGGTGAACACTTTTGACTATTTACCACCCTGCCAGAGCAGTGACTGGATTAGGTGCAAAGTTTTGCCCTAATTTATTTCCCGTTACATTTGGGGCAAGCACTATCGGACTGGTGTAGAAAACAGTACTCTACACAATTCCCACTGGGGGGGTTTGGTTTAAATTCCTCTCTTTGAATTCTACAATTTGCAGTAACCATTTCCTGCTGGTCAGGGTTTTATTCGGCTACTTTACAATCCCACAGCTTTAAGTTGTTTTGTGGGTAAGTTAATCAGCATAGGTTTTATCAGGGAAAGTTCCCAACCACAAGGGGCAGATTCCACCAGTAAGAACAATTTTACCTGCTGGCTACAGGCATTGTTAATCTCCCAGGTTTTCCGACTTCCAGACTCGAATCCTTGCACTGTAACCACCTTTTTTGCAGTCTTCTGTAATTAGGTTGTCTAATTACCTGAATGTAAAGCATCCTTAGCAACTGTGCAATATCATTCAATGGAAATGACCCATTCAGTGGAAGGAAATAGCACATTGGTGGCTAACCTTGCTTTACACAAGCCTGCCCACATCCATCTCACAGGTAAACCTGAATGCCCCGTCACTACTTTGAAGAAGATCCGTGCAGTTATCTCTGCTTATTTTTTTGGGTGTTGGCTAGGGAATAAATATGCCAATGACCTGGTGGTTATCATGTAACTGTTTGTGGGAGCTTGCTATGCACTATTTGCTGCTGTTTTTCCTACAGCAGTGACTGCAATGCATTAGTAGTGAAGCACTTTATGAACCTACTGAAGATATGAAAAAGCTATATAAATATAATTTCTTCATTTTCTTTTTGTGTTTTGAATGGGGAAGCGGGTCTAATTGTTTTATCTCTACAATCTCCAGATTGGCTTCTGAGGAATATCAACAAGAAAACAGCAATGTTGAAATGAATCTAAGAACAAGAAGCAGACTAAATGGCAGAAAGGAGGATGGTGATGATGATGACGATGACGACAACGACAGTATTGCTGACTCTGATTTTGATACTGATGAGGGCAATGATGTAAAAGATGAAGGTGATTTCATTCAGTCCTCTTTAACTCCTCTACACACTCCACATATGGATGCGGCATTGTATAAAAACAAATCATCAAAGGCTGAAGGAACTGAGGCACCTGGCGTGCTTGATATTTCTATCTTGACTCTGGATGCATGATAGATTGCGGTCATAACATTCTAATGTTAAATTACAATAATCTCTCAGGATTTTGCATAACTTATGAATCCTGTTGAATTTTTGCTTGACTAGCATGAGATAGTGCTAGTACACATGAATGTGATAAATATTAAACTAACATCTTGGAAATCAGGATTGTAAGAGCAAACCCTAGAAAGATGTAACTTGTGTTTGACTGATGTGTTATGCTGTTCCAGTTTTGAAGGAATATACATTGACATCATTATCACCTTATTTATGGAAATGTTGCCAGTTGGCACTAACCCTCTCAACAACTACATTGTGACATAAATGACCATGTAATTGTGACCTAATTTGTTCTTTACTCTGTAATATTGTTTATATATTGCTGATTAAAAATAAACATGTAAAAAGTTTTTATTTCGTACTCAGCAGGGCATATACAAGAATGTGAGATTTCAAAGGGCACTACAGGCCATGACTTGACTAATCAGCACCCTTTGCTCATGCAATATAACTTGTTGCTCACTTTTGAAATTTGCCATTCTTGCATCTGTTCTGATGACTGCAGGATGAAAAATTCAAAACTACTGCAATTCTGTACTACCAAACAATTATTGTTTTATTTGGATAATCTTTCAAATAGTGGGTTCTGACTTTCTACTTAAGTGAATAAAGTTATAAGAATCATAGAATCCCTACAGTGTGGAAACAGGCCCTTCGGCCCAACAACTCCACACTGAACCTCAGAGTATCCCACCAGACCCATCCCCCTATAACCCACCTAATCTACACCTCCCTGAACACTATGGGCAATTTAGCATGGCCAATCCACCTAACCTGCACATCTTTGGACTGTGGGAGGAAACTGGAGCGCCTGGCGGAAACCCACTCAGACGCTGGGAGAACGTGCAAACTCCTCACAGACAGTCGTCCGAGGCTGGAATCGAACCCGGGTCCCTGGGGTTGTGAGGCAGCAGTGCTAACCACTGTGCCACCGTACTGCCCCATACTGTATAAGAAATCATACTGTTATTTCCTTATTTTTAATTGCACTGTACTTTGTCTTTATTTTCCTCCTCCGCTTTAATTGGTCCAAGGTATCTGAACAGGAAATGCTGGAAACATTCAACAGGCCATGGAAGATTTGTGAAAATGGAAACATCCTGATGGCCTTATGTTAGAACTGGAGAGATGAGCAGAAATCTTGTTGACAGAGAGAAAACTTCAAAGCCAGGCCTCCTTTTTGAAGAAAAGAAACAATAAATTAAAGCACTGAAGAGCTTATGAATTACAGCAGTTGCTGGAACTCCGAACTAAAAACAGAAAATACCCAGTGGTAGCCCATGTTTGTCAAGAGAGAAAAGTAAGATAACGTTTCAGGTTGATGATTATTCATCCCAGCTAAATGTTGAATTAACATCAAACCTCAAGTTTGTACTTTAAACCCCTGCTTGGAATTGGTCTTTTTGGAAATTTGCAAGCTTAACTTTCCAAAATAAAATTGATTGTATTCATATTAATGTTGGTATTTGGCTTCCCACAATAGTTCAGTGAAATCATAAGCAGATGATTATGGAATTTTTTTGTGGCGAAGGGGCAGTCTTTTTTTTCTAGATCAAAAACTATCTCCTTTTGTGAAGAATAGATTGGGTTAGCTTGAGCAATATGACAGTTATCCAGTCTCTCTCTCTCTCTCTCTCTGTGTCTCCTGTTCCACAGACAGTTACCTAGCTCTCTCGCAGTCACCCATGCAATGTACACTGTCACCTATTTCACACATGCAATCACTCTTCTCATAGTCACCAATCACCCAGAGAGAAACAGAGTCACCCTGAGGAGTTCTAAAAGTGATTATGGCAAGATGGTGGATATGGTTTTATGATTTTTTTCCCCCAAAATTGCCTAGATTTTAGAACAGTCTCAGTTGATCAGAATTTGACAAAGAAGGGAGAGAGAAAACAAGGGAGTGACATGAATTATTGAGATAGTGCTGGTATCTATTATTAAGGAACTGGTAGCCAGAAGGTGGTGTTGATTCTGCTGCTTCATGCTTTTTATTACAGTAATCAAATTTCTAAGTAAGGGAGGGGATGAGGATCAGACTCTAATGATTTTCATAAGAATTCTGAGAGGCAGTTCTAAAAGTGACTGCTGCAATGACAATCCAAGCCCCCTTGTTCTGTCTATTTACCAAGTACATGTATTTCTGTGCTGCTGAGTCCTCTTGCTGTGTATTCCTTTCCTGTGAGCTGATTGGCTGCTCAGCATGGAGACATATGGTCTACTACTCTCATCACACCCCTCTTGGTAGGTAGGTAATGATCAGCACTGCAATACTGACACCCGATCAAAGAAAAAAGATTGATTTCTTTATCCATGCCCCTCCCTGGCACCTGCAAACCCCAGTCAAAGATATTCGGAAACTTTCAGACTATATAGCACTCCCATGACTGACTTTCCCAGCTGTTGGACACTAAGGGAGCCAAGAGGTGGGGAACTGGATGGAAAATGGAGTTGATGTTGAGGATCAGCCATGATCGTATTAACTGACGGAGCAGGTTCAAGAGGCTGTATGGCTGATGCCTGCTCTGATTTTCTGTTGCTAAGTTCTATTTGGTACCAGAATATCAATTATCTGTAAAGGCACACTGGGCAATGCAGTTGTTAGCACTGTTGCTTCACAGTGCCAGTGACCTGGCTTCGATTCTAGCCTTGGGCCACTGTCTGTGTGGAATTTGCACGTTCTCCCCATGTGGAGTCTGTATGGGTAGAGTTTAGAAATACTAAGGAGCAAAAAATATTAGTAGGTATCATATATAGAACCCCAAACTGCAGTGGTGATGTCAAGCATGGCATTAAACAAGAAATTAGAGATGCATGTGATAACGGAATATCGGTGATCATGGGCTTTTTTAGATTGGACAAATCAAATTAGCCACAATGCCATGGAGGAGGAATTCCTGGAGTGTATACGGGATGGTTTTCTTGACCAATGTGTGGAGAAATCGACTAGAAAGCAGGCTGTCTTAGACTGGGTACTGTGTAATGAGAAGGGAATCATTGCCAATTGAGCTGTGCGAGACCCCTTGGGGAAGAGCAACCATAACATGATAGAATTTTTTATCAAGATGGAGAGCGAGGCTGTTGATTTGGAGACTAGGGTGCTGAACCTTAATAAAGGAAACTACAAGGATATGAGGTGTGAGTTAGCCTTGACAGATTGGGGAGAGTTACCTAAAGGGATGACAGTGGATAGGCAATGGCAAACATTGAAGGAACGCATGGGGGCACTGCAACACCTGTTTATTTCTGTCTGTCACAAAAGCAAAATGGACCAATCCATGGTTTACAAAGGAAATAAGAGATAGTATCTGATCCAGGGAAGAAGCATACAGATTGGCCAAGAAAATTAATAAATCTGAGGATGTGAAGCAGTTTAGAATTTAGCAAAGAAGGACTAAGGGATTGATTAAGAAGGGGAAAATACAGTATGAAAGTAAACTTGCAGGGAACATAAAGACTGAGGCTAAGAGTTTCTATAGGTATGTGAAGTGAAAGAGATTCGTGAAGAGAAATGTAGGTCCCTTACAGACAGAAACGGGAGAGCGTACAATAGGGGACAAAGAAATGGGTGAGGAACTGAATACATACTTTGATTTTGTTTTCACAAAAGAGAACTCAAATCAGATACCAGAATTGTTGCAAAAGGCAAGATTTAGTGAGAGAAAGAACTGAGGAAGATCAATATTAGTAGAGAAATGGTGCTGGGAAAATTGTTGGGATTGAAGGCCTGTAAATCCCCATGGCTTGATAATCTACATCCTGGAGTACTTAAGGAAGTAGCTCCCAAAATAGTGGATGCATTGGTGGTCATCCTACAGGATTCTATAGACTCTGGAACAGTCCCTGCAGATTGGAGGGTGGCTAATGTCACTCCAATATTCAAAAAGGGAGGCTGAGAGAAAACAGGGAATTATAGACCAGTGAGCCTAATATCGGTAGTGGGGAAAATTCTCAAATCCATTGTCAAGGACTTTATAGCAGAGCATTTAGAAAGCAGTGGCAGGATCAGACAGAGTCAGCATGGATTTATGAGGGGGAAATCATGCTTGACAAATCTTTTGGAATTCTATGAAGATGTAACTAGTAGAGTTGACAAGGGGAAGCCAGTCGATGTAGTATATTTCGACTTTCAGAAAGCGTTTGACAAAGTTCCACATAAGACATTAAAGTGCATGGGATTGGGGGAGGCATATTGAGATGGACAGAAAACTGGTTGACAGAGAGGAAACAAAGAGTAGGAATTAATGGGTCCTTTTCAAATTGGCAGGCGGTAATTAGTGGGATGCAACAGGGATCGGTGCTGGGACCCCAGCTATTCATAATATATATTAATGATTTGGATGAGGGAACAAAATGTGACATCTCCAAGTTTGCAGTTGATTCCAAGACAGTTGCGAGGGTGAACTGTGACGAGGATGCAAAGATCCTTCAGCATGATCTCGACAGGTTGGGTGATGCAGTATAATTTGAATAAATGTGAGGTTATTCCCTTCAGAAGCAAAAACAAGATGATTACTACCTGAATGGCTGTAAATTGGGAGAAGGAAGTGTGCAGTGGGACCTGGGTGTCCTTGTGCACCAGTCACTGAAGGTAAACATGCAGGTGTAGCAGGCAGTATAGAAGGCAAATGGTATGTTGGCCTTCATCGCGAGAGGTTTTAGGTACAGGAGCAGGGATGTGTTGTTTCAGTTGTACAGGGCCTTGGTGAGGCCACACCTGGAATATTGTGTGCAATTTTGGTCTCCTTTCCTGAGGAAGGATGCTCTTGCTCTCGAGGGAGTGCAGTGAAGTTTTACCAGGCTGATTCCAGGGATGGCGGGTCTGACGTATGAGGAGAGATTGACTAGGTTGGGATTGTTTTCACTGGAGTTTAGAAGAATGAGGTGGGATTTCATAGAGACTTATAAAGTTCTGACAGGACTGGACAGGATAGATGCAGAGAGGATGTTCCCGATGGTGGGTGTGTCCAGAACCAGGGGTCACAGTATGAGGATTCGGGTTGGATGATTTAGGATGGAGATGAGGAGATATTTCTCCACCCAAAGAGTGGAGAGCCTGTGGAATTCATTACCACAGGAAGTAGCTGATGCCAAAATATTGAATGTATTCAAGAGGCCGCTAGATATAGTACTGGGGGTAAATGGGATTAAAGGATATGGAGAGAAAGCAGGATTAGGCTATTGAGTTTGGTGATCAGTCATGATCATGAAGAATGGCAGGCTCGAAGAGCCAGATGGCCTCCTCCTGCTCCTATCTTCTATGTTTCTATGTCTGCATGGATTTCCTCTGGGTGCTCTGGTTTCCTTCCACAGTCTGAAGATATGCAGGTTAGGTGGATTGGCCATGCAAAATTGCCCACAGTGTCCAGGCATGTGCAGGCCAAATCGATTAGTCATGGGAAATATGGAAGTATGGGGAGAGACTGGGAGATGGGTCTGTGTGCTGTATGCTTTTTGGAGGGTCAGTTTAGACCCAATGGGCCAAATGGCACTTAGGGATTCTGTCTAAAGGCAAATTGCAACAGGAGCCTGGAGGATCCAGTTCTCAAACTCCAGGTGCAGACAATATCACATTTATTTTGAATTCATTCATGGGATGTAAGTATCACTGTCAAGACTAGCATTTATTGCCCAGCCCTAATTATCCAAAGAAAGAAGGAAACAATAGGAGGAAGTCCTGCCGAGACTGTATTACAAATTAGGGATCAAATTTAAAAAGCACAAGCCCACAGATGGTAGTCTTAAATACTGCCTGAACAATGTGTGGATTGGCAAAAGGATGAAAAGATCAGGATGGTGGAAACATATCTGCCAGCCTGGTGTGAGAGGTCTCAGCCATTACTGGGGAAAGAAACAAAATATGACTTGACCAGGCTTCACCTGGACAGGGGTAGGATCAGAACCATCGTGGAAAGGATACCTGGAACTGGAGATAGGTGTTTGTGAGATAAGAGGGGAAGGTGGATATGGTACAAACAACAGTAGTTTGAAGTTAACAGAAATAAGAGATGGGAGTAAAGGTCAGACCAAAACAAGAGACTAAATAAAGCTTATATAACTGCAATAAAGAAAGTCATGCAAAAGATAGATAAAAACAAATTAAAATGGCTGTAAATCTACATACTGAATCCATATCTTAATTATGGAACTGGGACAATAAACAGCCAGAAGTAGCAGGGACAATTGAAACACAAAGCGTTTGAAGATTAGAGCTTGCAGTTAAAATATTGGGTGGCATGGTGGCTCACAGTTCCAGGGACTCAAGTTCAATTCCAGCCTCAGGCGACTGTCTGTGTGGACTTTGCATGTTCTCCCTATGTCTGCATGGGTTTCCTCCGGGTCCTCTGGTTTCCTCCCACAGTTTAAAGATGTTCAGGTTGGGTGGATTCGCCATGCTAAATTGCCCGTAGTGTTCATGGATGTGTGGTGAGTTGGATTAGTCAGGGGAAATGC